GAAGTTATATACACAGAAATAATGACTGAAGTCATGAGAATAGTTTTAAAACGAAATCTAAATTTTAGAAAGACATATGATTCTATGAATAAGTGAATAAAATATGACAAATTACCTTTAGCTTATAATTCAAACATGCTTACATATGCTAATAATTTTAGTTATGCTGTGACTCAGAGCACAGTTAAACAAACGTGTATTATTGTTTTAGACTACTGGGACCAAAAATAGGTAATTCTCTTGGCTCCTTATCAAATTCAAGACATTAGATCACAAGTTGATTCTTACTATATTTGATATCCAGTCTTTGCATCATAATGTTTCAGTCAACGAGGAACTATAGAAATGACAGTTGTCCCATAAGATTATAGAAGAGCTAAAAAATTCCTATTACCTAGTGACTTTGTAGCCATCCTAATGGTCGTTTAAATGTAACACACTACTTGTGTTTGGGGTGATGCTGGTGTAAACAAACCCACTCCACTGTCATATAAAAGTATAGCACATATATTATGTGTAGTTCATAATACTAGATGAGAATAAATGACCATGTTACTGATTTATGTATTTACTACACTTTTTGTCGGTATTTTAGAGTGTACAGCTTCTGCTTATTTAAAAAAAAAAAAAGTTAAGATACAATAGCGTCTCAGGCAGGTCCTTCAGGAAGTATTCCAGAAGAAGGCATTATCATCACAGGAGATGACAGCTCCACGTGTGTTATTGCCCCTGAAGGCCTTTCGGTGGGACAAGATGTGGAGATGAAAGTGATACTGATGTTCCTGACCCAGTAAAGGCCTAGACTAATGTGTGTGTTTGTGTCTTAGTTTTTAACAAAGTTTAAAAAGTAAAATTTTAAAAAAATTAACAATTTTAAAAACAGAAAAAAGCTTACAGAATAAGGATAGACAAGTGTATTTCTACAGCTGTAAAATGTGTTTGTGTTTCAATCTAAGTATTATTACAGAACAGTCAGAAAGTTTTTTATTTTATTTTTTCTGAGAAGGAGTCTCGCTGTGTTGCTCAGGCTGGAGTGCAGTGGCGCCATCTTGGCTCACTGCACCCTCTGCCTCCTGGGTTCAAGGGCTTGTCCTTTTTTAAAAAAAAAAAGTTTATTCTTTTTTTTCTTTTTTTTTTATTATACTTCAAGTTCTAGGGTACATGTGCACAATGTGCAGGTTTGTTACAGATGTATACATGTGCTATGTTGGTGTGCTGCACCCATTAACTCGTCATTTACATTAGGTATATCTCCTAATGCTATCCCTCCCCCGTCCCCCACCCCACGACAGGCCCTGGTGTGTGGTGTTCCCCACCCTGTGTCCAAGTGTTCTCATTGTGCAGTTCCCACCTATGAGTAAGAACATGTGGTGTTTGGTTTTCTATCCTTGCAATAGTTTGCTCAGAATGATGGTTTCCACCTTCATCCATGTCCCTACAAAGGACATGAACTCATCCTTTTTAATGGTTGCATAGTATTCCATGGTGTATATGTGCCACATTTTCTTCATCCAGTCTGTCATTGATGGACATTTGGGTTGGTTTCAAGTCTTTGCTATTGTGAATAGTGCCACAGTAAACATACATGTGCATGTGTCTTTATAGCAGCATGACTTACAATCCTTTGGGTATATCCCCAGTAATGGGATGGCTGGGTCAAATGGTATTTCTAGTTCTAGATCCTTGAGGAATCACCACACTGTCTTCCACAATGGTTGAACTAGTTGACAGTTCCACCAACAGTGTAAAAGTGTTCCTATTTCTCCACATCCTCTCCAGCACCTGTTGTTTCCTGACTTTTTAATGATTGCCATTCTAACTGGTGTGAGATGGCATCTCATTGTGGTTTTGATTTGCATTTCTCTGATGGCGAGTGATGATGAACATTTTTTCATGTGTCTGTTGGCTGTATGCATGTCTTCTTTTGAGAAGTGTCTGTTCGTATCCTTTGCCCACTTTTTGATGGGGTTGTTTGATTTTTTCTTGTAAATTTGTTTAAGTTCTTTGTAGATTCTGGGTGTTAGCCCTGTGTCAGATGGGTACATTGCAAAAATTTTCTCCCATTCTGTAGGTTGCCTGTTCACTCTGATGGTAGTTTCTTTTGCTGTGCAGAAGCTCTTTAGTTTAATTAGATCCCATTTGTCAATTTTGGCTTTTGTTGCCGTTGCTTTTGGTATTTTAGACATGAAGTCCCTGCCCATTCCTATGTCCTGAATGGTATTGCCTAGGTTTTCTTCTAGGGTTTTTATGGTTTTAGGTCAGACATTTAAGTCTTTAATCCATCTTGAGTTAATTTTTGTATAAGGTGTAAGGAAGGGATCCAGTTTCAGCTTTCTACATATGGCTAGCCAGTTTTCCCAGCACCACTTATTAAATAGGGAATCCTTTCCTCATTTCTTGTTTTTGTCAGGTTTATCAAAGATCAAATGGTTGTAGATGTGTGGTATTATTTCTGAGGGCTCTGTTCTGTTCCATTGGTCTATATCTCTATTTTGGTACCAGTACCATGCTGTTTTGGTTACTGTATCCTTGTAGTATAGTTTGAAGTCAGGTAGTATAATACCTCCAGCTTTGTTCTTTTGGCTGAGGATTGTCTTGGCAATGCAGGCTTTTTTAGGTTCCATATGAACTTTAAAGTAGTTTTTTCCAATCCTGTGAAGAAAGTCATTGCTGGCTTGATGGGGATGGCATTGAATCTATAAATTACCTTGGGCAGTATGGCCATTTTCATGATATTGATTCTTCCTATCCATGAGCATGGAATGTTCTTCTATTTGTTTGTGTCCTCTTTTATTTTGTTGAGCAGTGGTTTGTAATTCTCCTTGAAGAGGTCCCTCACATCCTCAAGGGATTCTTTCTCCTCAGCCTACCAAGTAGCTGAGATTACAGGCTCCCACCACCATGCCTGCCTAATTTTTGTATTTTAGTAGAGATGGGGATTTCACCATGTTGGTCAGGTTGGTCTCAAACTCCTGACCTCAAACGATCCACCCGCTTCGGCCTCCCAAAGTGCTGGGGTTACAGGCGTGAGCCACGACACATGAACTAAAAAAGTTCTTAAAAATTTAAGTTTATAAAGTAAAAATGTTCTTTGGGAAGTTGAGGCGGGAGGATCACTTAAGGCCAGGAGCTGAAGACAAGCCTAGGAAACATAGCAAGGCCTCATCTCTACTAAAAATTTTTTTAAAAATTAGCTGGGCATCATAGTACACACCTGTAATCCCAACTACTAGGGAGGCTGAGGCAGAAGGATCACTTGACCCCAGAGTTCGAGTTTATAGTGAGCTATAATTGCACTCCAGTCTACACAACAGAGAAAGCAGCTATCTCTAGAATAAATAAAGTAATAAAGTTACAGTTAACTAAGGCTAATTTATTATTGAAGAAAAAAATAAATTTAGTGTAGCCTAACTATACAGTGTTTATAAAGTCTATAGTAGTAATGTCCTAGGCCTTCACATGCACTCACCACTCATCACACTGACTCAGTCAGAGCAACTTCCAGTCCTTCAAGCTCCGTTCATGGTAAGTGCCCTATACAGGTGTACCATGTTTTATCTTTTATACCATATTTTTACTGTACCTTTTCTGTGTTTAGATATACAAATTCCATTGTGTTACAATTACCTACAGTTTTCAGTACAGTAGCCTGCTGTACAGGTGTAGCCTAGGAGCCATAGGCTACCAAACAGCCTCAGTGTGTAGTAGGCTCTACCATCTAGGTTTGTATAAGTTCACTCTATAATGCTCACATGACAACAAAATTGCCTAATAACACATTTCTCAGAATGTATCTCTGTCATTAAGTGATACATGACTGTCCTTAGATTTTCATCAAATTTTCACCACATAACTATGAGTCTGCCCATTAGGCAGCATGCAGTTAGATCTGGGAGTGTATAGGTATTATTTTTATTCCCGTTATGTTTTTTGTTAATATTCTATGAATTTTAACAGAACTTTCTTAATTTTCATGACATATAAAATGAATATCTAACACTGAAATTTGATCTTACGAAGACCACCCTCTCCTACTCCCCTATTCTTCCTTTTTCTAGTTGGCATCTCGTGCCTTTAGCTTGTAGCATTCATCCCTATACACGGTCTAATTGCAGTGTCCTCCTTGATGCCATTCTGGTAAAATTTAAAGGAAAACTTCACCAGCATTAATTTTTTTATTGATTAAAACAACAAACCTTGGCCAGGCGCAGTGGCTCACACTTGTAATCCCTGCACTTTGGGAGGCTGAGGCGGGCCAATCACCTGAGGTCAGGAATTCGAGAGCAGCCTGGCCAACATGGCAAAATCCTGTCTGTATTAAAAATACAAAAAAAATTAGCCAGGCGTGCTGGTGCATGCCTGTAGGCCCAGCTACTCAGGAGGCTGAGGCAGGAGAATCGTTTGAACCCGAGAGGCAGAGGTTGCAGTGAGCCGAGGTCACGCCACTGCACTCCAGTATGGACAATAGAGCGAGACTCTGTCAAAAAAAACAAAAAAAACCTCAACCAATGACAAATCTTAAAAAAATAGTATCAGCCACCAGTGTAGCCAGATATAATGAAAAATGTACAAAAGCTATTCACATTTGTGGGACTGAGAATTTGTTGTTCTAAAAGAGTACACTTAAAATGTACATACCAAACAAAATTCCTATTTACTCCAGTCATACGAAGTTAGTTTTAAATTTTGCATTATAATATATGTATTCAGTTTATTTTTAAGTTCAAGAATTAGAAAGCAGCTCTTCTAGAAAATTTAAAAATCAATTTTACCCAGTGACAGGACTAATGAGTGTTCCTAAATGATTTAATGAAGTCTTTTTAAACAAAATGTCTGTATCATATTAATGATAAGCAACTAGAAGAAAAAAAGATGTCAAACATGAGAACGTAATAATGGAAAAGTATAAAAAAGCTAAAATTTCCGTTAAGTGTACCACATTTCTACTTTTGTATGGAGAATGGCTATTCATCTGACATAGCAAAATGCAGCCTCCTTACCAGTCACTGTTACAACATCATCTTTATGAGCTTCAGTCATTTCCTGAATATGGACTTCTGAGTTCACATCAACCTCTTTCCCTGATAACTGTAAATGAGCTTCAAGTGAAGATGGAACCTTGACAATAATAGAACCTGTAATAAATGTAAAGGAGAGTTTAGTAATATAAAGAAATCAAAAGTACCAGAGTCTATTTTAAATTTGACTGAAAGGGTAGCATTGCTCCTGGGACACTGTTTTTACTCCTCAGCATACAGTATTTATTTAAACCTTTTCCTTATTCCCAGGTGCTCAAAGTTCTCTTACTCTCAAGGCATTCATGGTAACTTCCGTCAAGAATATGGGTTATTAGCACATTATTAACTACTAGTTCTTCTTTTGCCAGTAGAACTACCCAGCTCATCCAACACCAGAAAGTGAGTAATTTATTACACATGTAGCTTATAGATAGGATTTACCCTTGAGCATTTAATATGAGCCAGACCCCTAATTACATTATGTTTTAATCCCCATATTAACTTTATGAGTTTTTTTTAATTATACTTTAAGTTCTAGGGTACATGTGCACAGCATGCAGGTTTGTTACATATGTATACATGTGCCATGTTGGTGTGCTGCACCCATTAACTCGTCATTTACATTAGGTATATCTCCAAATGATATCCCTCTCCTACCCCCTCCCCACAATAGAACGCGGTATGTGATGTTCCCCTTCCTGTGTCCAAGTGATCTCATTGTTCAATTCCCACCTGTGAGTGAGAACATGTGGTATTTGGTTTTCTGTTCTTGCGATAGTTTACTGAGAATGATGGTTTCCAGCTGTATCCATGTCCCTACAAAGGACACGAACTCATCCTTTTTTATGGCTGCATAGTATTCCATGGTGTATATGTGCCACATTTTCTTAATCCAGTCTGTCACTGATGGACATTTGGGTTGATTCCAAGTCTTTGCTATTGTGAATAGTGCCGCAATAAACATACATATGCATGTGTCTTTATACAACATGACTTATAATCCTTTGGGTATATGCCCAGTAATAGGACAGCTGGGTCAAATGGTATTTCTAGTTCTAGATCCTTGAGGAATCGCCACACTGTTTTCCACAATGGTTGAACTAGTTGACAGTTCCACCAACAGTGTAAAAGTGTTCCTATTTCTCCACATCCTCTCCAGCACCTGTTGTTTCCTGACTTTTTAATGATTGCCATTCTAACTGGTGTGAGATGGCATCTCATTGTGGTTTTGATTTGCATTTCTCTGATGGCGAGTGATGATGAACATTTTTTCATGTGTCTGTTGGCTGTATGCATGTCTTCTTTTGAGAAGTGTCTGTTCATACCCTTTGCCCACTTTTTGATGGGGTTTTCTTGGAAATTTGATTGAGTTCTCTATAGGTTCCGGATATTAGCCCTTTGTCAGATGAGTAGATTGCAGAAATTTTCTCCCATTCTGTAGGTTGCCTGTTCACTCTGATGGTAGTTTCTTTTGCTGTGCAGAAGCTGTTTAGTTTAATTAGATCCCATTTGTCAATTTTGGCTTTTGTTGCCGTTGCTTTTGGTGTTTTAGACATGAAGTCCTTGCCCATGCCTCTGTCCTGAATGGTATCACCTAGGTATTCTTCTAGGGTTTTTATGGTATTAGGTCTAACATTTAAGTCTCTAATCCATTTTGAATTAATTCTCATATAAGGAGTAAGGAAAGGATCCAGTTTCAGCTTTCTACTTATGGCTAGCCAATTTTCCCAGTACCATTTATTAAATAGAGAATCCTTTCCCCATTTCTTGTTTTTGTCAGGTTTGTCAAAGATCAGATGGCTGTAGATGTGTGGTATTATTTCTGAGGGCTCTGTTCTGTTCTATTGATCTATATCTCTGTTTTGGTACCAGTACCATGCTGTTTTGGTTACTGTAGCCTTGTACTATAGTTTGAAGTCAGGTAGCGTGATGCCTCCAGCTTTGTTCTTTCAGCTTAGGACTGTCTTGGCAATGAGGGCTCTTTTTTGGTTCCATATGAACTTTAAAGCAGTTTTTTCCAATCCTGTGAAGAAAGTCATTGGTAGCTTGATGGGGATGGCATTGAATCTATAAATTACCTTGGGCAGTATGGCCATTTTCACTATATTGATTCTTCCTATCCATGAGCATGCTATGTTCTTCCATTTGTTTGTGTCCTCTTCTATTTCACTGAGCCATGGTTTGTAGTTCTCCCTGAAGAGGTCCTTCACATCCCTTGTAAGTTGGATTCCTAGGTATTTTATTCTCTTTGAAGCAATTGTGAATGGGAGTTCACTCATGATTTGGCTCTCTGTTTGTCTGTTACTGGTGTATAAGAATGCTTGTGATTTTTGCGCATTGATTTTGTATCCTGAGACTTTGCTGAAGTTGCTTATCAGCTTAAGGAGATTTGGGGCTGTGACGATGGGGTTTTCTTAATATACAATCATGTCATCTGCAAACAGGGACAATTTGACTTCTTCTTTTCCTAACTGAATACCCTTTATTTCTTTCTTTTGCCTGATTGCCCTAGCCAGAACTTCCAACACTATGTTGAATAGGAGTGGTGAGAGAGGGCATCCCTGTCTTGTGCCAGTTTTCAAAGGGAATGCTTCCAGTTTTTGCCCATTCAGTATGATATTGGCTGTGGGTTTGTCATAAATAGCTCTTATTATTTTGAGATACGTTCCATCAATACCGAATTTATTGAGAGTTTTTAGCATGAAGGGCTGTTGAATTTTGTCAAAGGCCTTTTCTGCATCTATTGAGATAATCATGTGGTTTTTGTCTTTGGTTCTGTTGATAGGCTGGATTACGTTTATTGATTTGTATATGTTGAACCAGCCTTGTATCCCAGGGATGAAGCCCACTTGATCATGGTGGATAAGCTTTTTGATGTGCTGCTGGATTCAGTTTGCCAGTATTTTAATTGAGGATTTTTGCATCGATGTTCATCAGCCATATTGGTCTAAAATTCTCTTTTTTTGTTGTATCTCTGTCAGGCTTTCGTATCAGGATGATGTTGGCCTCGTAAAATGAGTTAGGGAGGATTCCCTCTTTTTCTATTGATTGGAATAGTTTCAGAAGGAATGGTACCAAACCTTCCTTGTACCTCTGGTAGAATTTGGCTGTGAATCCATCTGGTCCTGGACTTTTTTTGGTTGGTAGGCTATTAATTATTGCCTTAATTTCAGAGCCTGCTATTGGTCTATTCAGGGATTCAACTTCTTCCTGGTTTAGTCTTGGGAGAGTGTGAGTGTCCAGGAAATTATCCATTTCTTCTAGGTTTTCCAGTTTGTTTGCATAGTGGTGTTTATAGTATTCTCTGATGGTAGTTTGTATTTCTGTGGGGTCGGTGGTGATATCCCCTTTGTCATTTTTTATTGCATCTATTTGATTCTTCTCTCTTTCTTTATTAGTCTTGCTAGCGGTCTATCAATATTGTTGATCTTTTCAAAAAACCAGTTCCTGGATTCATTGATTTTTTGGAGGGTTTTTTGTGTCTCTCTCTCTCCTTCAGTTCTGCTCTGATCTTAGTTATTTCGTGCCTTCTGCTAGCTTTCGAATGTGTTTGCTCTTGCTTCTCTAGTTCTTTTAATTGTGACGTTAGGGTGTCAACTTTAGATCTTTCCTGCTTTCTCTTGTGGGCATTTAGTGCTATAAATTTCCCTCTACACACTGCTTTAAATGTGTCCCAGAGATTCTGGTATGTTGTATTTTTGTTCTCATTGGTTTCAAAGAACATCTTTATTTCTGCCTTCATTTCGTTATGTATCCAGTAGTCATTCAGGAGCAGGTTGTTGAGTTTCCATGTAGTTGAGCGGTTTTGATTGAGTTTCTTAGTCCTGAGTTCTAGTTTGATTGCACTGTGGTCTGAGAGACAGTTTGTTATAATTTCTGTTCTTGTACATTTGCTGAGGAGTGCTTTACTTCCAACTATGTGGTCAATTTTGGAATAAGTGAGATGTGGTGCTGAGAAGAATGTATATTCTGTTGATTTGGGGTGGAGAGTTCTGTAGATGTCTGTTAGGTCTGCTTGTTGCAGAGTTGAGTTCAATTCCTGGATATCCTTGTTAATTTTCTGTCTCATTGATCTGTCTAATGTTGACAGTGGGGTGTTAGTCTCCCATTATTATTGTATGGGAGTCTAAGTCTCTTTGTAAGTCTCTAAGGACATGCTTTATGAATCTGGGTGCTCCAGTATTGGATGCATACATATTTAGGTTAGCTCTTCCTGAGATGAATTGATCCCTTTACCATTATGTAATGGGCTTCTTTGTCTCTTTTGATCTTTGATGGTTTAAAGTCTGTTTTATCAGAGACTAGGATTACAACCCCTGCTTTTTTTTGTTTTCCATTTGCTTGGTAGATGTTCCTCCATCCCTTTATTTTGAGCCTATGTGTGTCTCTGCATGTGAGATGGGTCTCCTGAATACAGCAAACTGATGGGTCTTGATTCTATCCAATTTGCCAGTCTGTGTCTTTTAATTGGACCATTTAGTCCATTTACATTTAAGGTTAATATTGTTATGTGTGAACTTGATCCTGTCATTATGATATTAGCTGGTTATTTTGCTCGTTAGTTGATGCAGTTTCTTCCTTGCATCGATGGACTTTACATTTTGGCATGTTTTTGCAATGGCTGGTACCTGTTGTTCCTTTCCATGTTTAGTGCTTCCTTCAGGGTCTCTTGTAAGGCAGGCCTAGTGGTGACAAAATCTCTAAGCATTTGCTTATCTGTAAAGGATTTTATTTCTCCTTCACTTATGAAACTTAGTTTGGCTGGATATGAAATTCTGGGTTGAAAATTCTTTTCTTTAAGAATGCTGAATATTGGCCCCGACTCTCTTCTGGCTTGGAGAGTTTCTGCCGAGAGATCTACTGTTAGTCTGATGGGTTTCCCTTTGTGGGTAACCCGGCCTTTCTCTCTGGCTGCCCTTAACATTTTTTTCCTTCATTTCAACTTTGGTGAATCTGACAGTTATGTGTCTTGGAGTTGCTCTTTTCGAGGAGTATCTTTGTGGTGTTCTGTGTATTTCCTGAATTTGAATGTTGGCCTGCCTTACTAGGTTGGGGAAGTTCTCCTGGCTGATATCCTGCAGAGTGTTTTCCAACTTCTTTCTATTTTCCCCGTCACTGTCAGGCACACCAATCAGACGTAGATTTGGTCTTTTCACATAATCCCTTATTTCTTGGAGGCTTTGTTCATTTCTTTTTACTCTTTTTTCTCTACACTTCTCTTCTTGCTTCATTTCATTCATTTGATCTTCAATCACTGATACTCTTTCTTCCAGTTGATCGAGTCGGTTACTGAAGCTTGTGCATTTGTCACGTAGTTCTCGTGTTATGGTTTTCATCTCTATCGTTCTTTTAAGGACTTCTCTACATTGGTTATTCCAGTTAGCCATTCGTCAAATCTTTTTTCAAGGTTTTTAGTTTATTTGTGCTGGTTATGTCGTTCCTCCTTTAGCTCTGAGAAGTTTGATCGATTGAAGCCTTCTTCTCTCAACTCGTCAAAGTCATTCTCCATCCAGCTTTGTTCCATTGCTGGCGATGAGCTGCGTTCCTTTGGAGGGAGGAGATGCACTCTGATTTTTTGAATTTCCAGCTTTTCTGCACTGCTTTTCCCCCATCTTTGTGGTTTTATCTGCCTTTGGTCTTTGATGATGGTGATATACTGATGGGGTTTTGGTGTGGGTGTCCTTTCTGTTTGTTAGTTTTCCTTCTAACAGTCAGGACCCTCAGCTACAGGTCTGTTGGAGTTTGCTGGAGGTCCACTCCAGGCTCTGTTTGCCTGGGTATCAGCAGCAGAGGCTGTAGAAGGTAGAATATTGCTGAACAGCGAGTGTTGCTGTCTGATTCTTGCTCTGGAAGCTTCGTCTCAGGGGTGTACCCAGCCGTGTGAGGTGTGAGGTGTCGGTCTGCACCTAGTGGGGGATGTCTCCCAGTTAGGCTACTCAGGGGTCAGGGACCCACTTAAGCAGGCAGTCTGTCCATTCTCAGATATCAACCTCCATGCTGGGAGATCCACTGCTCTCTTCAAAGCTGTTAGACAGGGACATTTACCTCTGCCGAGGTTTCTGCTGCTTTTTGTTTAGCTATGCCCTGTCCCCAGAGGTGGAGTCTACCAAGGTAGGCAGGCCTCCTTGAGCTGTGGTGGGCTCCACCCAATTCAATCTTCCCAAGTGGTTTGTTTACCTACTTAAGCCTCAGCAATGGCAGGTGCCCCTCCCCCAGGCTCGCTGCCACCTTGCAGTTAGTGCTAGCAATGAGGGAGGCTCCGTGGGTGTGGGACCCTCTGAGCCAGGTGTGGGATATAACCCCCTGTGTGCCGTTTGCTAAGACCCTTGGTAAAGTACAGTATTAAGGTGGGAGTTACCCGATTTTCCAGGTGTTGTGTGTCTCAATTTCCTTTGGCTAGGAAAAGGAATTCCCTTCCCCCTTGCGCTTCCCAGGTGAGGCGATGCCTCGCCCTGTTTCAGCTCTCGCTGGTTGGGCTGCACCCGCAGACCAGCGCCAACTGTCCGACATGCCCCAGTGAGATGAACCCGGTACCTCAGTTGAAAATGCAGAAATCACCTGTCTTCTGTGTCACTCATGCTAGGAGCTGGAGGCTGGAGCTGTTCCTATTCAGCCATCTTGGGCGTACCCCCATGAGGTATTATTATCACCTCAATTTTACAGATAAGAACTTGCTCAAGTTCTCACTAGTGCTAGTGCTGGAACCTAGACTCAGCTCAATTATTACAAAGCCCATGCTTTTAACCACCATGGTATTTCACACATTGCTATCCCATCATAGTACAGGACTTGTGACCTCATCATTATAACACAACTAGAACACTGAGCTCTTGTGCTTTCAGATATGTCTTGTGTGTAACAAAAAATAACAATAGAAAAGGATTATTTGAATTCCAACTCACTAATATTTCTTTTGAGTATATTACAGGCTTTTGGATAAGATAAGACACTCAACCTGAATTTCCATACAACCTGGCTGTAATTCAAGCTTCTAAAGGAGTAAATCAGGAAAAGTACTCTGTTAGGTATGGAATCATTTTTCAAAACAATTATGAGGGTTGCATTGTAAATTCACCAACACACTCCTATTTCAGAAGTTTTTCTTTCTGTTTTTCATTAAATAAAGTAGGCAAAAGGCCCCTGCCATAAAGCATTAACCCATCTCTGTGGACTAAGATGGTCAGGATGGGGTTTAGGATGCATTTACTTATGGGTGACGGTTTTCCTTCCAATCTGGCTAACATCAGCTTAAGCTTCCTTAAGTCATTTCTTAGTCTTCCTAACTGGATCTAGAAGTTTGAGATAAGCATGATGAACTGTTCTGTTCTAAAAAAAAATTAGGGAACAACGCACATCACTACAACTAGTTTATTTTATTAAGAAATAAATTGCAGCCAGGCACGGTGGCTCATGGCTATAATTGCAGCACTCTGGGAGGCCACGGTAGGTGGATTGCTTGAGCTCAAGAGTTCGAGACCAGCCTGGACAACATGGCGAAACCCTGTCTCTACCAAAAAAAAAAAAAAAGAAACTGGGTGTGGTGGTGCACAACTGCAGTCTCATCTACCTGGAAGGCTGACCTCCCAAGCTTAGGTGATCCTGATGAGGCTGCGGGGAGCCATGATCTTGCTGCTGCACTCCAGCCTGGGTGACAGAGTGAGACCCTGTCTTAAAACCAAAAGCAAAAAACCAAATTGCTTTCCAGGGTTCAAATGTAAACTACAGACAGGAGATTCCCATAACAACATATGAGGGCTTTAGGAAAAAACAAAACAAAAACAACCCTGGAAGATTTCAGGATAAATAGAAGATATGTTTTTCTACCAAACATACTTTCAAAAGTAGAAAATCATGGATTTAAAAAACTTTTTTTGTAGCGCTTCATATCTCTAAATGTATGAAGTTTCAAGTGTACTAACTTTATGAACACTTGTCTCTGTTCTTAAATGCATAACATGATCTTAGATTTTTGAGATCTTTAAAAATGTTAAGCAACACAAAGATTTCTACCCCATCTCCCTCCACATCTTTAAAAACCAAAAATCACCACTACCAAAACTCCATTACTGTTTGTGAATGAAGAATTTTCATGACTTGAAAACCTTCCTAATATCCAGTCTTTAACACTAACTTTTTTAGAAAGGAGAGCTCTTGTTGTGTTCTTTAACCTCTTTTCACTTCATAAAGTTCTTCATGGTTGACATCAGTATTATCCTCTTAAAAATTCAAATGTGAACTAACAGCACCATTTATTGAAGGCATATTATTTTAAAATTAGTGATTTATCCCAAGGACAAAATGTTAAGTGGAAAAGTCAGTACTCAGATTCAGGTGTGACTCCCAGGCCCAAGCATAGCCTTTCTGAATGAATTAAGAAGGTCACTATATTAATTTTCATAAGGTGAAAGAAAACAAGCATTATATATTTTTCCACATCACAAAATGGTGAAGACCTAAGAGACTCCAGTGGCTGGCTCTGAACCCTACAGCAAGACAGTGGCAGAGTTGGAATGGATTCCAGATGTCTTTGCTAACCATTAAGAAAGAGTTACTGAATAACGTTCCATTACTCTAAAAAGTTACTGTTCCCAAGTGTATTGAGAATTCGGAGATCTGAAGTAAGACAGAAATCTTTGTTTTCAGTTGTCTTTAAGCTTCTGCCAGTAACATGGTCCCAGTAGAAGAAAACATAAAACTGTAATCTTAATCAAAATTTGCAACATCAAATACTATTTCAATAGTTTCAAATACTATTTCAAATAATACTAAAAAATATTTTAAGTGAATAAAGACTAACAATCTTCAAAAGTTTTACAGTTTCCTGTTTGTTTTATTTTGCCTACCATGCAAAACATTAAATTACTTTTATGTAAGAGCTGCTTATTCAAAACTTTGTTCTTACTCTGTTACTAGTTATATTAACAATATATCCCTTTTCTCCTTGGATCTTTGTAATAACAGAGTACAATTATATAACTTACATGCCATTTATAATTTACCCTGAAGAGTATTACCTAAAGCTCTTAGATTTAGTGAGGACATAAGTTTATCCTATTTTAAAGGGAGAAAATATGATATTGAGAAATCACACCAGTGTATCAGCAATAACTGAGGTTTCAGACCTCTGTGTTTTGCAGTTTTCACACTGACAAATTCTAGAGATGGATTAAAAAAAAAAACTATTAAATCAATATGGTAAAGAAACTACTAATAGCAGGAACAATCAGTCTCTGTGAGGAAATATTTTCCTTGTTAAACATCTGGCCAACATGCAAGAGCTTCTAGACTATTTTAAAAATTTTTTTATACAGAGCTACAGTTCTTAACTTTCTGCAGCCAAGCCACTTCAGCCCTTATGGCCAGCCTACTTCACCCAAGTCACTTGTCAACACGTATGTGTACATCCATGTGTGCAGAAGAACAGACAAATTCATATTTAGCTTTCAGATGAAAAGTATACCATTTTAAATGAAAGAGTTGGACTCAGAATAAGTTGTGTCAGAAGTTAAATGATAGAGACATATCCTAAGTCTTGATACTTTAAGAGACTAAATAATCACTTTAGAGGACCTTCCTGTGTGATACTTTTATTTAAGGATCACACTTTGAAAACTGTTACTCTATACTGATTGCCTGAGAAGTTCCTTTTACAGGCTGGCAGAAAAGCTCCCAAAAGAGTGTATGGCAGCGTTTTTCCTTCAAAGATTATTCTATTTCAGAATAGATTAAACTAAAAAATTCACAGAGTAACATTTTAAAATTCCGTAACAACAGTCAAAATACTCATTTTTGTTTGTACTACAAAGAGAAAGATAGTCTGCATGGCTATCTATCCCAAAAGTTGTAAAGATCATTGGTCTAGAGAGCCAGCAGACCAGTGCCTTTAAATCAGGTTCTATCTGAAGATATTTTCTTGAAATCACTATGTCAGTATAGATAATTTGACCATCTGTTTCCTGAGTGTTACATAAACCTTCCTTACATCATATGTCAAAATAAAACATTCCAGTTCACTAACCTTCACTAACCTTTATGGGATTTCAATTCCACTGTCCCCAGTTGACTGACATAAATATCTATAGCACCCTGATGAGCTGAGGCTTTTAGACATCCAGAAGATGAATCTAGGAAGAAGAAAAACCATAAGTAAAATCATTCTTACTTGATGAATGGAATTATAAACTTGAAACAAAAGGCTCTGCTTTAGCACTAGGATAAGGGGCTAAGAATCTTGCAAGGTTTAGTATTTCCTCATAACAATGCCATTGTTTGCACTTAAACGTAAACAGTATCAGAAATCTAGAAATCTATTAAACTAGACAACTAATTAAAAAATCTGTATCTACATTAACCTGAATAACTTATCTCTAAACATTTACTCTAAAACTTAATGAATAGGAAGGAGAGTCTGCAAGTAATGGATCCTGAAACCACTAAGCACCATGGATATTTTTAGTTTTTTATCATGTTGACACATTTAGTAAACTTTCAATAATTACCAAAGAATTCTACCTCATGTATAGTCACATACAAGCAGTAGCAAGGCTAACAAAAATCAAAACCTCTTATAATTTCTCCTTGTAGCAAATTTGCTAATACTAAGAAGTACTCCTAATAGTAAAAGATTACTCTACATAAAGTTGTTGAATTTCTTTTTTTCTGTAGAGACAGGGTCTCGCTATGTTGCCCAGGCTGGTCTCTGACTCCTGGGATCAAGTGATACTCCTGGGATTACAGACACAAATCACTGTTCCTGGCTTGCTGCATTTCTTTAGGGGGCAGAAGGACAGGGAATAATTTGAAGAATAGCTTGTTTATATCTAATAATTCTTTTCAAGTTTCTGGAATTGAACAGGTATCGTTAAGTGTGGATAAGAAAATAATAAAGGTAACCCTGATTTGACATTCAAATTTCCCTATGTTGTTGATGACTCCACTTTTCAATCAACCAGTATTTCAAGTTCAAGTGAAAACAGTCAGAAATAAGGAAGTAAGAAAATGAACTTGAAGAGTCAGTACTAAGTGGTTTTTCCTTCTTCTCTTTCTCCCATGGCAATTGAATCTTTAATTTAGTATTCTGTCTGACTGCCTGGAGAAGGCCAAAGCATATTCTTTTTAGAGAAGCCTCTTAAAAAGCATATTTTATCAGGAGGTTTTATTACTTCAAAGTGGAAACAAAGTAGGGAGTGTGGTGAAAACTATGCCAAAAATATACTTTCTACAAAACAGAGAAAGAAAACATTTGTGTGTGTGTGTGTATGTGTGTGTGTATATATATATATATATATATAGAGAGAGAGAGAGAGAGAGAGAGAGAGAGAGAGAAAGGAGCCAACATTTTTCTTTTAAAAAAATATTAACTGACTTCAAACAAAGACAATAAATTTGGAATAAACTGTGTAAAATCTGGCTCCCATATCATTTATAATAATTTATTTCCAATCTATAATGGAAAATGCCCTTTATCAGATTCAATTTATTTAGTTTTCAAGTGTCAAAAGTAAACACTGACGTTGGGAAATGAAACCACTAGAAATAAATGACACAGAATAGCTGGACAAAATGAACATTTCACTGCTTATGTACCAACAGAACTCCTTTTTAAACCTCTTACTGCATCCTAAAAGAAGCCAAGTAAAAATTACATTATGCTAAAAAAAAGAAAAGTGCAATACACAAGGTGTGTATTATTCCAGTTTGAACAAAGTAAAATAGCTGAAACATTAGTTTGATTTCTCGCTTTCTCAAGGAGGGGAAAAAAAAACACGGAATTTTTATGTGGCTCATAAACAATAGTTTCATTTATTTTTCCCTCCAAATGAGAAATAAATGACAGCTAAATAATTATATCCTAAGCCACAAAGTAATTATATTCTCATGTTATTTGTACTGATCTCTAATAATGGCTTATCCTTTGGAGGCTGTCAAAAAATAAAAAAATGAAAACTCAAGATGTTTTCGAAAAAGAAGGCAATGGTGATACTTTAAAACTATGTAGCAAAACAAGCCCTATTTTTTTGTTTAACACAAATTATCACAACCAAAATTAATTATCAAGAGTAAAATTAAGACTTCATCCAGAGAATTTCATTCTTTTGGAGTTTACATAATGGAGAAATTCTATAGATCTGGGAGAAAGTCCTGTAGATCTAATGTACAGCATGGTGACTGTAATTAACAATACTGTACTGTAAACTTGAAATCTGCTAAAAGAGTAAATCTTAAACAAATTTTCATCATACACATAAAATGGTAATGAGGTGAAGTGACAGATATGTTAACTAAACTGACTGTGGAAATCATTTCACAATATATATGTATATCAAATCATCATATTGCATGTACACCTTAAATATATATGGTTTTGTCAATTATGTCTCAATAAAGACAGTAAAAGCAAAAAAAAAAAAAAAAAAAAAAACACCAAACAAAACAAAAAACAAAAAACACAAAAGAAACCAAAATAAATCTACATTGTAATGTGTTTAGCTCAGTGCTTTGAACATGGGCACTGAGTAAATGATAGATATTTTAAAGAAAGGGCCAGGTGTGGTGGCTTATGCCTGTAATTCCAGCACTTTGGGAGGCCGAGGCAGGAGAACTGCTTGAAGCCAGGCATTTGCGACCAGTATGGGCAACAAAGTGAGACCTTGTCTCTATTTTTTTAAATAATAAATAAGTAAATAAAATTTAAAAGAAAAATCAGTCAGTATAGTTGGCCATATTAATAAACTAAAGGAAAAATGATCATTTCAATAAATTGAGGAAATGTATTTGACAAAATTCAACACTGAAGTCACAACCAAAGAAAGTAAAAAAAGAGAAACTTAATTTAAGCAAACAAGGAATAAAAGGTAACTCTCCCAATCTGATAAAAGGCATCTGTTAAAAATCTATAGGTAACATCACACTTAATGGTAAAATAGTGAGTGCCTTCCCCCTAATAGTGGGGACGAGGATAGGGAGCAAGTGCAGGGAACCACACTCTCATCACTACAACTCAACGTTATACTGAAGTTCATAGCTAGTCGGATAAGGCAAGAAAAAAATTAAAGTAATAAAGATAGGAAAGAAAGAGGTAAAACTATATGTACAGATGAAAATGTCTACTCAGCTAGGAAAGGATTCTAGATTCGAGAAAACCACTATTAGAAAGAATAAATTTAGCAAAGTCACAAAATACAAGATCCATATATAAGAATTATTTATATATGGGCCGGGCGCGGTGGCTCACGCCTGTAATCCCAGCACTTTGGGAGGCTGAGGCGGGCGGATCACGAGGTCAGCAGATCGAGACCATCCTAGCTAACACGGTGAAACCCTGTCTCTACTAAAAATACAAAGAAAAAAATTAGTCGGGTGTAGTGGCGGGCGCCTGTAGTCCCAGCTACTGGAGAGGCTGAGGCAGGAGAATGGCGTGAACCCGGGAGGCGGAGCTTGCAGTGAGCCGAGATCCCGCCACTGCACTTCAGCCTGGGAGACAGAGTGACATTCCCGTCTCAAAAAAAAAAAACAAAAAAAAAATTTGTATTTACATATATCAGCAGTAGACAATTAGAAGCAAAGTCTTAAAACCTGTCTCATTTATAACAGTGTTAAAAACACAAATGAATTTAACTAAGTGCCAGACTTCTACGTTGAAAATTACAAAGCAATGCTGAGAAAAATTAAGGAAGATCTAAATAAATAGAAATAGCTACCTACCATGTTCATTAATTGGAAGATTCAATGTGATTCAGTGCAATCCCAAACATAATCACAACTGTACTTTTTGGTAGAAATTGACTGGAAAATCAAAGGACCTATTATATCCAAAGCAATCTTTAAAAGGAACAAATTTGGAAGACTTCAACTACCTGATTTACAGACTTACCAATGTTACAGTAATCATGATATTGTGGCACTGGTATATGGCTCAACAAACAAATCAATGAATTAGGAGCAAGAGATCAGACATTGAGCCACACTTATATGGTCATTTGATTTTAGACAAGGATACTAAAGTAATCCATCAGAGAAAGGAAGTTTTTTCAACAAATGGTGATATAAAAAATTTTTTTAACTGACAATAATAAATGTTGATGAGGATGTGGAGCAACTCAAATTCTCATACATTGTTGATGAGAGTATAAAGTGGAACTTTGGGAAAAAGGTCTGGTAGTTTATCATAAAGTTAAACACAGAACCTACCTAGTCAACTCAGCAATTCCACACCTAAGTATTTACCCAAGAGGAAAAAAATATATAAATCCCTAAAATGACTTACATTCGTATATTCATAGCAGCTTTATTTACAGTTGCCAAAAAATTAGAAATAGCCCAGGTGTCCATCAACAGTAGAATGAACAAATTAAGCCTTCTAATAGCCTGCTTTCACTTCTGAACCCTTCTGGTACATTATGAAATAACAGCTAGGTTGTTCTTTTAAAATATAAATTATATATCACTTCCCTAACATCCTGTTATAGTTGGAATAAAGTCTGAACTCTTGCCCTGTCTCCAAGGTCCTAAGATCTAGTCTTACTTACCTCATATCCTACCACTTTCCCCATAAGCCAGCCTTCTATCCCCTGAAAATAATAAACTTCCATTTTCAAGGCCTGCACTTGCTGTTCCTCTATCTCGGGAGCCCTGTATCCAGAATTTTACATAACTCTTTGTCATTAGTCTGGCTTTAGTTTAAATGTACCCTCTCCAGACCACCCCCAATTGCCTAACTGATGTAGCTTTCTTTTCCCCAATCTCTATTCAGTTACCCTTTCTTATTTCTTCATTGTACTTACCACAAACTAAAATTACCTTTTGTTATTTATATGCTTGTTGTCTTTCTTCCCAGGGCTCAGAGAAGTGAGGTCTCTGAACACAAAAACTATGTCCTGTTGACCAACATGTTCCCTAGTACCTAAAAGAATTCTTAATACATGGCAGATACTCAGTAAATATATGTTGACTAACTAGTTATTGGTATTCACAAGGTTGTCTTCAAATGTTAACACATTTGGAGACCAATAAACAGTGACATTATTTATATCTTTCTTTCAAAGACTTAATTTAGATATTTGAAGAATTCAAGAAATTTATAAGATCTTTCTTTTTTTTCAGAGAAGTTTAGCAAGAAATATAAGACATTTCTTAATACTAGCTCAGGCAATTTTTTTCGAGTGGACATAATTAGTACATTAGTTCTGCCTATATTTGACTTGTGAGCCTGTCAAGTTCATCAGTTAAACTGTAGACTTCATTTATTCTAATAAAGTCATCACAAATATACCTATTTTTAAAAGTGGGCAAAGTACATGAACTAGTAGCTTAGCACGTACCTACTGTGATGTTACCCATCTTGCTTTGTAATGTTATATTACCTGCAAAAAAAGAAAAAGATACTTTCATGTACTAGAGACAATCTAGAAAGGAACTGTGATACATAGCAATGCTAAAACATGGATGAATATCTACAATGTTATTTTTGTGGGCAATTTTTCCCAATATCACAAATCCAGTCAAAGATTTAGCTGTAGTTCTGAAATAACTAGCCTTAGGTACCTCTGCAAACCTTCTTTCTCTACTACCAAACCTTAAGCTTTTATAGCATAATTACAAATCACCATACCTACTGGCACAGAGGAAAAACAATACTTCTAAAACCCATAAGTGAAAAAAAATTACTGAAACATAATCACTATACATTTTCAACCTAAATATCAATGTATTTATCAGATCACACAAAGCCAAGTTTTCAACCAAGTAACACTAAAATATGGTATGGAAAAAAAGAATTACGTTTATTTTTCAGGCCACTTGCCATGTCTATTAAAGTAGTTTCTGGGCCAAGAATTAAAGTGGTTTGAGATACAAATAATGAATACATGGAGGTATGACTAACAAAACAGAAAAGAAGCTTCAAAGGTTTCCGTCTTAGTGAAAATATGTTTCCCATGATAGGTATGGAATATTGCAACCATTCTTCCCAGCCCCTTTCCCCTAATACCAAAAGTAGTAGGATTATTCTTCATATGTGTGTTTGTATGTATAAGTATTCCTAAAATCAGGAACTCATATTTATTCTACTGAAAATATAAGCAATAATGTTATCTCTTCTAAAATAATTCCAAAACTACACTAAAAAGTAAAGGAATAACTTTGGCTTCAGAATTAATCTTCAGTAAATTCATTTTATCTCATTTCACATACCTTATGAATACCGACTTATATCAGTATCTGGGAAAAAGCAAAAAAGGCACTGGATTCATTTACTCAACAGCCAGATGCACCTGATTGCAAAAATCCATCTAAAGGTCTAATATACCATCATATTTCCTGTGAGTATATGAACAAGGAGTATATTTGTATATGAATAAAAACTTGGTTTGTGTACTGAAGCTTATAGGATTACTATTTTTTTTTTCATATTTTAGATTCGGGGATACACGTACATGTTTTTTACCTGGGTATATTGTGTGATGCTGAAGTCTGGGGTACAAATGGTCCCATCACCCACGTACTAAGCATAGTATCCAGTAGATTTTCAACCCTTGCCCCATCCCTCCATCCCCCATCTAGTAGACTCCAGTTTCTATTGTTGCCATCCTTATGTCCATGATTATCCAATATTTACCCCCCCACTTATAAGTAAGACCATGTGGTATTTGGTTTTCTATTCCTGTGTTAATTCACTTAGGATAATGGCCTCCAACTGCATCCATGCTGCTGCAAAGGATATAATTTCATTCTTCTTTATGGCCACATAATATTCCATGGTGTATATGTACCCCATTTTCTTTATCCAGTCTACCACTGATGGGCACATAGGTTGATTACATGTCTTTGCTATTGTGAATAGAGCTGCAGTGAACATGTTGAGTGCATGTGTCTTTTTGGAAGAATGATTTATTTTCTTTTGGATATATATCCAATAATGGGATTGCTGGGTTGAATGGTAGTTCTGTTTTAAGTTCTTTGAGAAATCTTCAAACTGCTTTGCACAGTGGCTGAACTAATTTACATTCCCACCAACAGTGTATGAGTTTTCCCCTTTCTCCACAGCCTCGCCAGTGTCTGTTGTTTTTTGACTTATTTTTAATAATAGCTATTCTGACTGGTGTGAGATGATATCTCATTGTGGTATTGATTTGCATTTCTCTGATGACTAGTGATTTGGAGCAGATTTTCATGTTTGTTGGTTTCTTGTATGTCTTCTCTTGAGAAGTATCTGTTCCTGTTTTTTGCTCATTTTTAATAGGGTTATTAGTTTTTTGCTTATTGATTTAACTTCCTTGAAGATTCAAAGGAACAAAGGATATTAAACCTTTGTCAGATGCAGAGTTTGCAAATATTTTCTCCCATTCTGTAGGTTGTCCATTTACTCTGTCGATAATTTATTTTGCAGTGCAGAAGCTTTTTCATTTAATTAGATCCCACTTGCTTGAACATGGCCTATAAATGAATCTGAAGGGGTGACTCTAAAACCTTTTGTTAAGACCCCAGAAAGATGGTGGTACCTCATGGTATTAATCAGTTACACCAAAAAAAAAAAAAAATTTAAAAAGATTAAGACCTCACAGATCCTCTCAATCAAATAGACCTAGAAAGCTGGAGGGCATTAACCTCAATATTGCTGCAGAAACCCATATTTTGAAAAGATTTTTGGATGTGGCTTTTGTCCAATGGAATGAAAGCCAGTGAGATTCACAGAAGACTGACAAAGTTTTTGAGACAATTATATCAGTAAATATTGCCATCTTGGACTGAAGGGGACAGTGACAGTACAAAGTGAAATGAGACCACTGGACCCTCAGAATTCTACTAGCAGGAAGCAGACTGAGAAAACTACTCAACTGTAAAGATGTGCTACATTTCATAAAAAAGGATGAATGACTTAGAGGGTGGAACCAAGAGCTCAGTGGTCGAAACCTAGAACCATGAAGAATTATTCCCAGGCCTTGAGATCTAATAAAAGAACCTCTGACATTTGCCCACCTGAAAAAATCACTATGGATCAGTGACTCCTTTGTGCCTCCCATTTCAACAAGAAAGTCCACAGTCATTATCCAATGCCTGTCCACTCTGTTTGGTGTGTAGGTGATGTGTGTGTGTGTGTGTGTGTGTGTGTGTGTGTGTGTGTGTGTATGTTTAGGGGGTGGGTAGACAATTTGTCTCTTTAGTTCATCAGTCTTCAGATTCGCACCTGAGGAACTTCATTTTCACCTGGAGCTGATTTTGATGCAGAGATTCTGGTCTTTCAGCTGATGCATGATGGGATGATACTTTTGGGAACCTTGGGAGGAAGAGAGTATATTTTGCATGTAGGAAGGACATGAATCATTGGAGGGCCAGAGGACACAGTGGCTATCCAAAACCTCATAGAATATCTGGAAAGATGCACACATGAAAAGTTAAAAATCAGTATATATTAATAATTTTAATATCCTAAGTGGACAGCATGACTCAGGTGCCACAGCACTTACAGGAAAGAGACTAAAATGACCTAGCTTGGACAGGGAGGTTTAGTCATATAGAAGGTATCACTTGAGCTGAAATTTGAAATGTGAGTAAAATGTTAATATGCTGAGAAAAAAAACATTTCCTGGGAAAATAAATCATATAAGCAAATGTAAAAAAGCAGAGCTATACATACTATGTTTAAATAATGCAGATTAGATAGGCTGGAGCAATGAGGCAAGTCTATGAGGACAGGAATCACATCTTTCTTATTTAGCTTCATATCTGGAAACTTAGCACAGTGCATAGTACATAGTAAACACAATTATTTTGTGAACAAATAAAAAGTTTGGAAAAGTAGGCAAAGAGCAACGTGTGGTAGAACCACAGAGTGCTAAGTCTACTGACTATCCTACACCAAAAATGTCAGTGAACAATTTCAAGATGGATAAAAATATAAGAAAACCATGCTTTAAGGAGATTCCCCTAGTGTGAGACAGTGGGTGTTTCCATACTCAGCATTCTCTTTACTGCTTGTTGTGGTTTGAATGTTCCCCCAAAAGTTCATGTGTTGGAAATTTGGTCCCCAATGCATCAATACTGTGAGGTGGGACCTTTGGAAGTTAATTGAGTCATAAGGGCTCTGCCCTCATGAATGAATTAACCCATTCATGAATCAATGGATTAATGGGTCATGGAGGGAGTAGGTTAGCTATCACAAGAGTGGGTCTGTTATAAGAGCCAGTGTGGGTGTCTCTCATGCAGCCTCTCTCCATGTGAAGCCTGAGCCATTTCATGACTCTGCAGAGCCCCTATCAGCAAGAAGGCTCTCACTAGATGCAGCTCCTAGACCTCAGACTTCTCAGCCTCCAGAACTGTAATATATAAACTTTAAAAATCACTCAGTCTCAGGTATTCTGTTATAGCAACAGAAAACAGACTAAGACACTGCTCTAACTCCTGAACAATAAAAGATGAAGCAGACAGGTCCCTGATATTTGTAACTTTATTAATAAAGAACTATGATAAAGTTTTACAGTCATTTAGCTAGTGAATCCAGTCACCCACTCATCAAGGCAATGGAGCTTTACTGTTTTACACTAGAGTCTTTAATAATGCAGTAAAAATTTACTATTTTTTTAAATAAAAGTATGGTCTTTTTTAAAAGGCCAATCATTAGTGCTTGTCACAAAAGTGAGGAGGTCTTGAGAAAATAATGATTCTTTGAACCAGAAAATAGAAGTTTTAGATCTATACAAAATGAGGGTTAGTTGATTATAGTGGGACCTATAGAGTCTCAGATAACATTCTTCATGAATGTTAGAGTCCTACTGTATACTAAAAGCATAATGGAGCAACAACAACAAAAACCCAAGGAATTAAGGAATCATTTCAAATACTGTATAGTTATATACTATATAGTTATACACTTCAAAATATTTTTGTCAATTCTAAATAAAACAGTAAACAAAAACTTATTTTCAACTCATATCAAAATATTTAGAAAATCTCTACCTTAAACAGAAATATTCTAAAGTCATTAGAAAACACAAAATGGATGCCTTGCCTCAAATGCATAGTGGAATAAAGTATTATATTTAAAAGTATACAAAGCAACAAAATGGGCATTATTAGCAAAATTTTCTATATTTTGGTTTCACCTACTTCATATCACTGAAAATAATAAATTAATTATTTGAGAGGAGTAAATCTTAGTAAAAGTTTCTTTCCAATAAAGCAGACACCAGATGGTCTGTAATAACTATGTGTGCTTACCCTACTCTCAAGTTATATAACTTTTCCACAAATCCCAGTATTTGAGAAAATAGATAGTTTTTCTTAGCTTGTAACCTTTCATTCTAGCATGGTCAGAGGAAAAAAATATGTAATCAATTTAAAGATAAACATTGGTTTATTTTTCTTC